AGACTCACTTGTGTGGTATTGACTAAAAGTATCCAAACGTTATACCCGTTCTAGCACCCTGCCCCGTTGTTAAGTCATTTTAAAAGGGCGCCTTAAGACTCAGCGTTTAATGCAAAATATCTGATCGTAAAAATATTACCCAGAAATTTCGCTTACATTTTTTAGAAAATCATGATAAAAGTATAACAGCCAAAAGAAACTATAAAAGGCTTCAGGTGCTACAGCATTGAGACACAGAGCCTTCGTCATTGACCAAGCGCTGTTCTCAAAAAAGGAAAGTTTTATTTGATTTCCGTCAAAGAGAAAAAAATGTACCAAATAAAGCTGATTGTTGCTACTTACCATAAACAAAAAACGAATTGTAATGCAAACCATTCAACCACGACCATACTCCAAAAGAACGTGTCCAATCGGGAAAAACCAATTGCGACTTGTCATACAAAAATAAACCAAACTTTAGACAACAGGGTAACAGAGTAACAAGGTAACAGAGAACAAAAGCTTTAAGGCAACAAGGAACCAAGGAGAAAGAGTGAAGTTATAAGTTAATTAGGTAAAAGCGGTACAATATATGTCCCCATACATGAAGTACCTACCTCCAACTTCGTCACCTTTCTTCAGGTCCGCTGACCCCTACACGCGCTGACCCGTAACGTCCGTTGGAATGTACGTAACGAAATACAAGCAGCCCACATTCAAAGGACTTGGAGACTAGCTGAGGCTGAATTCATCATCATTAATAGGAAAACATAAAACTGTTTCACTTCACGATTTCTGGTGATAGAAAGATTGTTTTTGTTTTTGTTTTTTTTTAACTTATATTTCACGTATTTGTTTGGATCCCGCTGCAGTTCGGACAAATGAACGCTGTCACGCGACAACATTTCCAAGATTAAACTCTCCTTAGCAGATGGTAATTTCGGGTTATTCTCTTTTTCTGCGAATCTTTCATTTTCCTTTCTCTTTTAACTCTATATACTTCTATTTAGGATGGTTTTGAGCGCCTAGCAAGGCTTAAAGTGGCGTTTACCACGCTATCCTTGGCCATATTGGCAACAGAGAAGTGTTTCGCCGAAGTGGCAACTTAACGGTAAATAAGGTAACTTTGAACGGTTTTTACAACGTCAGTATACTTTGGCCGAAAAATGTTTTTCCAGAATCGTAATGTATATCCCTCCAATGTCTGATTCATCACTGTGACTGCTTTCAGCAGCGTTGGACTTTTGAGAAATTATTATTTTAAAATCAACTCCAACGCTCTATCTAATTTAATATGTAATATTTGAAAATTTATTTTTTATTCCCTTCGGCAGTTTTTCTATGTTTATCGAATGATATTGCATTAAAAGGCCTCTTTCTTCATCACTGTGTGGTTTTCTCGTTGTTTTGCGTTGCGATAGTGATTTCTGAACCGTTTTTTGCGAGAGCTTATTTTAGGCCTGATTTTGCTTCTATCAGACGGAAAAAGTTTGCGGCTCGATATTTTTGGTTTAAAGCGAAACTGAAACAAAAAAAATTCATTTTTGAATAGTATTCGGTAACCTCTACTTGGGAGATAAAAATCGGCCGATTTTATTTTTTAGCCGGAAATCATCGGTCGTTTCTTAGGCGCAGGGCCTTTTAATGATTTTCTGAGTCTGACAACAAAATTATTGAAAACTCTCTCTTTGAGGTACTGATGATGATCTTTAGTGAAACTGGGGTTAAAGTTTCAGTTAGGGTTGATATGCAGAGAGAACTGAAGTGGAATTGGATTCACTCAGTACTGTATAAAGTTGCCATGCATGGAAGCCCATGGAGGTGCATGTATTAGACTGGCACTTCTCCTGAACAAACCTTGTAATATATGTTTTTTACCCTGGGTCGGTAAAATGATTAATATTGATTTGTCTCGACGTAAATCCTTCGGTTGTCTAACACGTGTTGTACACAAAAGCGCCTGGGCAAAATTAAAACAACGACATGCGACAACCGCACAAAAGGAAATAAACATAGGAAGAAACACAACCAGCTCGAGTGAAATGAAATATATATTTTACTCTCCTAACACAACACATGAATGGTTTCTTTTCAAAAAGTGTTTTGAAGTAATATAGCAGTTGCAGGACATGGAACAAGATACCTTTTTAGATTGACTTTTTCCACCATTTTATCGATCTTTGCGATATTGCTTTCCCAGTGTTTGTTCACCAAACGTATTGAAAAAAAAAAAAAAAAAACTCACATAACTCAGACGATAGTCTGCCGATTAATTGTCTCAGTTCTGCAAACCAACAGTGTGTTCAGCCGGTTTCTGTTACTGTCTTCTTCTTTTAACTCCAAATTATCAGTGAATGGTTGAGCGAAGTGGTGCATTTTCAAAACATCCCAAAGAAGCCACTCTCTGGAGAGAGCTCAGGAAGTAAAATTTTCCCCCAGTGGAGCAGTGAGGGACAAAAATCCGTTATGAGCATGAGTAGTGATATTTGTAACTTCTGCACATGCGCGACCAGATGTCAGAAATTTTCTGACATCCGGTAACGGCTACTTCCAGAGCCCCTCGTTTCCCAACCACGTGACCAAGAAATGACGGACTCTGGGGACGAGAATGCTCCACGATCAAAACATTATTTTTTGCGTCTTCTTAAAACGTAACCGGTCAAAAAACACAACCACACGCTAATAACCACTACCAAAGTATAACTAGGCCAGCCAAAGCGACGGATGTCGGAATAAAAAGAAGGATTTTCAATGATTGTACCAGTAATGGCGATTTCGAATTTAGTGCTGACCCAACAAATTTATTCTGAAGAGACAAACGGCGCGCATGCGCATAACCGTGATCGCATCCCTTGAAGGTAAAATCGTTTCGAAATACTGCAACATATCAAAAAGTCTGGGGGGGGGGGGTCCATCCCCCCTCCCTTGTACCACGGTGGGGGTATGAATTTGCATGTACGTCCGAGGGTTAATAACAAGAACGGTACTATCAGAAAACAATAAAAAAAAATTGCCTCGAATAAAAAAACCGGTAAACTTTGCACTGCATTGTATAGAGAATTATGACCATTGCTGTTTCCCGATATCAGCCTCATACGAAAAAACGTTAATCCGGGAAAGAGAGTTGCCCTCTTTGCCGAGTATTTTCTCTCTCTCCCTTTTTTTGTTTTTTGTTTTTTGTTTTTTTTTTTTTAAGTAAGGAAAAAGTTGACACCTTTACTCAAGCCAACATCGTTCGCTCACGCTCTGACTAGACGAACAGTTGGGCGAGCCAAATTGTTTATATGAGGAAATGTTGACCCGGATAGGAGAGTGATCCTATTATCAAATTCATTCTCTCTTTTTGTCAACAGCAATAGTCTTTATTCGTAACAATCGGCAGCAACATGAGAAAACAAAGTATAATGAAAATCAGTACTATCTTCCTAAAATAACAAGTAACCGTCAAATAACGCACTTCAGAGCACGAATCGAAAAAAACCTGTGGCCATCTTGCACGTCGATAAACGTCGATAAAATCATCTAAGCTAACTTATCCCTGTCTGCAATAAATTTTATCAATGAAGAGACTTTCATTTTTTTCTAATTTCAAATCTCAGTTAATCCATGGGCCCCAATACCCATTTTTGCGCGCCAGTTTCCTTGCTTCTGGATCAGAGCTTTGTTTCCCAGAAGGCACCTCGCCCCTCCTGTAATACCTGATTCTCCTTCTTAACGTCCTTACCACATCCGGGTACGTGCGTCTGAGATCTTGACTCTCATTTGGGTCAGCGGTGATATTGTAAAGTGCAGCTCTAATTTTGCGACCAGATTTCTGCGGATGACAAAAGGAGGCAGTTAGAAGATTAAAGAAAATATGTATATGAAGCAATGTGTCACAACTAAACAACTAAACATTTAACTAAACTGGATGATAAGATTTTAAATAGCAAATCGCAGCTCGTTAGTTTGTTTATAATTAATTTTGTAGGATTAAAAGAAGGAAAGTGGATATAATCAGCACGTCAGAACACAGGCGGCCCAAGCTCAGTGTGTGAGTTTAATCATTAATACATGTAGTTTCATACTTCGTAATTTAAAATGGCCGTGAATATAAAGGATTTATATGGGAATTCAGGTAAAAGATTCAAGTAGATAAATACTCGCTAGAATGTTCAATAAAATACAGCTTACCGTATTGACTTTGCTTTGTTTGGTTATTTCCCCGATGCATTGCGATTTAAGCGATTTATTTTAACCCCGAGTTTCTCAAGTTAAAGGAAATCGCTTAAATTACACAACATGAAACTACATCTATTAATGATTAAACTCACACACTGAGCTTGGGCCGCCTGTGGTCAGCTCGTTATTGGTGTATTGGTGACTTCATGTATGGTTCAGAATTCGTGGATGGCAACAGTTCATTAAATTAAGGACAATGCTTTGCAGTGGAAAAACTTCTATCCTGTGGATAACGCACTTGGTCTCGTAGGAATACCCAGTTGCGTGTGGGGGGAGCGGAGGAGAGAGGTGACCGACATGTAAAAAGCGGGCCGAGGGGTCTTCGGGCAATAGACCATTTTTCAGTTGTGGACTAAGCACCCTAGCCTTCGAGTGAATGTGAGGCTGACGGTGACCTTGTTTTGATACAAACCTCCTTTTCTTTGTTATGGAAATTGTACGTGAAAAATACTGGTTAGCATAAGAATAACTTGATTTACATGATAAAGCAGGAAGGTTTGTATCAAAACAAGGTCAACCCCAGCCTCGGTTCCATACATAACTGTAAAATGACCTATTGGGATTAAACCCAGCATGGCCTAAGCTTAATTTCACCCCTAGAAGATACCATTCTAGTAAATAGCAAGATGAGGGCCATAGCATTGAGACTGCCTCAAACAATGCAGAATTATGAGTGGTGACTGTTGAGTTTCCTCTTAAAACTACTGAGTGATTAAAAGTTCGTGGACCTCCCTGGAAACCAACCTCCGATTAATTTCAAGCGTTTATTTGGTCTAAAAATATTTTCGGTGAAATTCCCATCAGTCCCAAGGGCTCAGTAGACAAGGCGTTTCCCTCTCTATCCCATCATGCTCTCTTGTTAATACCTTTTTCGCTTTCCTTGCCCCAGAGGACAACTCTGGCGGTTCATACCATTCTTGATTCTTTACGTTTAACAACAGCTTCATGTCGCCCACACGAATTGCCGCACTGTTTCCGTCAATATTGTGAAGAATCTCTGTTCTTTCTGATGGGACCCCTTCAGAAATTGCGGGCCATATGTTGAAGCCATCCAGCGCTGAACTATCAGAATCCTCTTCTATGCCTGACAAGGAACAAGAAGCAAAGCAGGAGCCTAATAGCGTTTTGTTTTTCTACTAATTAAAAATAGACAATCAACAACTCTTACAGGGCACTTCAGTGATCTAAAGGAGTGACGTGATCTAAGTATTTGTAACAATCAATGGGGGCAAACCTGCAAGATGGAGGAGGGTTGGGTACCAGTCAGTCACGTGAAAAAGCTCCTTGCACGTGACTCCAGTCCTCTGCAGCATTTTTCCATGAACAAAACCCACTCCTCTGACCCCTCCCTCCCAGAGGCTTCCTTTTTCACCACGAAGAGGCCAGTTGTAACCACCTTCATCAGATGCCCCGCCATTATCAGTAGTCACAATCAACAAAGTGTTGTCCCATAAACTAAACAGAAAGTAAAGCAAAACGAACAATCTAAGTGACGCATGAGAAGGTACAACTAACACGGCGAATTATTACAAAAGGAGCTGAGAATGGATATTCTTGAAGAGATTAAAGGACCGCAATTGTGGATTTTGGAAACTTGATAGCATATCAGATTTTCAAAGTTCATTTTTGTTGTTTGTGACGTTTCATATAATACTTGGGATAAAGATTTGTTTGACACGAAGCGGTGATTTAGTCATTAACAACTTATTTCTCAAGTATTGGCTTAAGTTCAATATTTTAAGCTCTAGAAGAGACCATACTAGAACAGGCAATCAAATCAGCGCAATAGTGATTTTAATTCTGCTAAAAATGTTGACACCCACACTGTCTTCAACACAGTTTGGTCACTTTTGCCTCAAGGACAAATTTAACGAACACAGACGTCCAGTCGACAAAACTAACGTTAAATCTAAACCCACTAATGTTTCTGAACACTTTCTCTCTCACTCTGACCATTCTCACAGTGACATGCAGTTAATCTCTCAGGGAAAGTTCATTCTTCACGTGACTCGGTCCGTAAGGCGAGGGAGACACATTTGATAGATAAGGACCGTGACTCTTGAACCCAATGGCCTAAACGGCCGTGACGAATCATTGTAATCCATATCCTTATTAGTTTTTCTTTTCTTTTCTATGTTGTACTTCATTTCCGCCTCTCCCTTGTCAACAATGGTTATTGCCACATTTCTATCTATATACTAATTATTGTAGTTCCTATCATAAATTCAGTAACATCTGTAAACCTGAAGAAGGCTGGTATGGCCAACCGAAATATTGTTATGAAAAAAACAAAACACGTTGTTATGATCAGCTTTGTAGTGGTCTTTGGACTTCTAGTTTTTTGGATATTTTAGCTGATTAGATCTTTTTTCTAGAGATTCAACGTTTACAACCAGCGGGATCTTCGTCCACGGTTGTTGCAGTTAGTTTCTTTATCACTTTTATGTGGCGATTTCGTCCCGCACAAAACGAAGTTGTACCTGTGTGGGTAAAAAATATTTGCTTTTCATGAAAAACTTCCAAAGTGAGACCAACTTTTGGCGATTTTCACCCCTTAACGGAATGACAAGTAAAGGGTTTCCCCGGGGATTAATATCGTATTTCCTTTTGTTTCTCCCCCGGAATTTACTTATGATCCCTGCTTCCGTACCCCTAAGTGCTTATTACGAATGGGTACTTCAAATTCTTATGGGTGCCCTAATGTAACTTTGATGTCAAATAAATGGATGTTTTATCTGACAGGTCCAAATCTCTCCTTATTATCTACTCACCCAGCTGTCTTCATTGCCTCTGTTATATTTCCTATTGCTTCATCAACATTTTCAACCATTCCTGCATAGATTTTTCTGTCATCATCTTTGATGTTTTCGTACTTTTCCGTGTACTCGGTGGGAACTTGCAGAGGACTATGGACGCTTTGAAATGGTAGATATAAAAACAATGGTGTCGAGGCATTGTGGGATAGAATTACCTTCTGTGCTTGCTGCAAATAAAAAGCGCTCGAAATTGACATCCACTTTACTGTGTTGGGGGCAGGTGACGCTAAAATTTGTATATATATATATATATATATGTATATCTATTAAATTGAAAAAAGAATGGTCGAGGCTTGTAATTCCAGACTTTTATGTATTGGAACTGTTTGCTGTCCTGTTCCTTAATGTTTTCCTCTCCTGACTAATCAACAATAATATCTTGTCAAGTGAAGAATGATCCAGGCAGTTGTAAACGCAATTTATGCAATTGCGTAAGAGAAGCCTGAAAAAAAATTCAGGACTTTAACGGGATTTGAACCCGTGACCTCGTGATACCGAACATATGACCTGCTCCCAGCATCAGTGGCTTCATAGCTTAGTTTGCCCGGGGGGGTGGGGGCACTTTAGGAATTTCTGGGTGGGGAAGTACCGCTGGGACCCTGGAACCCTTAACCTATACCAGAGCTAGTTCAGCTAAATTTTGCTACCCTATACTAGAGTAAACGCCCCAAATCCCCCCTATCCTAGAGTAGCTGTTTCCCTGGTCTAGATAAAATCTTCAACCAACTGATCAGTTTTCTGAAAAATGATACCTTATTCTAGACCCAAATGTTCTGATGTATATACCCTATCCTAGAGTAAACCGCTTGAAAACCATACCCTTCACAGCGGCACATACCTATATAGCCCATGTATGGCAGTACACCCCCCACCCCGCGCGTTAGCTGGTTAGAACGTCGCACTGGTATCGCTAGGTCACGGGTATAAATCCCGTTGAAGTCGTGAATTTTTTTCGGGCTTCTCTTACGCAATTGCATAAATTGCGTTCACAACTGCGTGGACCATTCTTCACTTGATTTCATTTCCGCAACTCTAATACATTTGTCACAAAAAAATATGACAGTCGACAGTCAAGATCCGGAAGATTTTTTTGTGGTAAAAAGTACTACATTTCTTTTCTCCGTATGATCAGGTAGGTGAAACAGCTAAGCGAAAAAAAAAAAAAAGAAAAGAATAAATAAAAATCTATTGTTATTCCAAACCTCAGCGTAAAGATACGTAGAATAAACTCCGTCTTTATTTTCTACAGGCGTTTCGTTATCATGTAGATCAAGAATTCTGGCTGTTTCGTGTGTGTAATGATCTCCAGCGCCAAGATATATGCCATAAAAAGAATCGAAGCCACGGTATCGTGGAGTGTATGACCAGCTACAAAATCCCAGATGCCACTTTCCTATCATATGTGTAGAATATCCTGTTGTGAAATAAAAATGAGTGCATTTTAAAGCTTTTGAAATATAGTTTTTAGTGGCGACCAAAGACAGTACATCTAGGCGGGTTGTTGAACCTGCAACAGGACCCCTCAGCTAAAAATGTAAAAACAAGTGTATAAAATTGAATTCTACAAACAAGTATCTACAAAAAATCCTACAAACAAGAAATGGGATCCTTTGGTCCCACTCTTCAATGGTAATTGTTAAAATTTAATTGGCAAATGTATCATTTGTTTCCAAGTTACCAGTTAAAATCAGCGATTGCCTGTGTGTTCATGCGTAAAGATGGCCCCGGGTCGGAAAAGCATTACACAGCCATATTTCGTCGATATTTGTTACTGAAACAGATTAACTTCGCTTTACTAAGTGAATACATACGAGAAACTTATAGGTTATATAGGGATGCACGCAAGCAACATACGGATGCTAGCCTGCGTCGCAGACGCTCTAAACCTGCTATATAGACTATACAGACTGACTGTACAAATGGTTTAGACGAGTGCGTGTGCCGGCTGCAACGCAGGATAACGGATGCATACGATTGTCAAGTAAGTAACATACGGAAACATTCGAATGCCTTTTTCAGCTTTTTAAACAATCCTCAAGTCTAACAATGTTGAGAAATGTAACTTTAAAAAACCATGCAAAGATGTATTTATAACAAATTTTAATAATGTCTCAAAATGCAACCTAAGTGAATCATTCCATTTAGCGCAAGGTAGCGCAAAACATTTTTTCCCTTATATTCGCATGTCATTCGTATGTAACAAAGGGGTAAATACGAAGACACGGATACATACAAGCATTATTATTATACATTGTACTAATTATCTGTCTTCTCATTGGCTAAAAGCCTACAGTTTTTTTGGGAAATCACCGCAACCTACAGATTAATTAGTTATCTTCTAGCAGATAACTGACTAATAACAATAACAATTCAGGTTCCTTGCGACCGTGTGTTTCTCGTTATTTTCTTCAAAGCAATGTATAATAAAACTATTATTATAGATTCGGTTTTTGTGATCTCCTAAATAATCAAGGAATAATATGATTATTCCGGATATCACAAAAACCTCATCCACTATTTTTTTTTTTTTTTTTTTTAGTCACGTTGCGCGCCCGTCCGATCAGATACAGACTAAATTGCACTTCACTCAGTTCAATTCAACAACCATTAATTTGCAAAATGATTGATATCGATTAGATCGGGAGTGGTCGTCCCTCTTTCCTTGGAGCCAAGGGCGAGCGAGAAAGTAAAATAATGCCGGCAAATTACAAATGATTAAAAGTAGGGGAGATTTGGGGGTAGAGAGAGGAAAAAGAATTGCTCTTCTTCTCACTCGTGCTGTCCATCTACTGCGATTTTAAAAAAACAGAAATAATAGACTGAACGCAGTCTGGAGTATCGATTTTCATTGATTGAGTACGCATTTGGGAGCAAATGGAGCTAGTGAGCACAAGGTTGTTGAAGTCAGTTTGTCCATACCTGCTTCTTTGAGTTTCTGCGGTAAGGTAGTAATGTTAAGTGGAAGTCCATATGGCTCCGTAGATCGTATAACTCCACTCTGTAACCCTACAATCAATCAATATATTCGCTTTGAAAGAGTGTTATAAAGTTAATGACCAAGCGTTAGGTCAAAAAGGCTTGGTATTGACCAAGTTCGTCTCTGGACCGAAATAAAGTTTTTTTACCCTGCGAGCAGAACACAGGACGAAATAACGTGTTTCCGTATTTTGGAAACTCGACGGAAACGGGAAGTTGCTTATATCCGTCACGTTTCCGCCCGGCGGAAACATGGTGATCTAGTTTTCCATGGACGGGACGCGTTTCCGCCATGTTTCCGCGTCGGAAACGAACGATCATGTTTCCGCCACATTTCTGTCATCACATTTCCGTTCTTTCTTGTTTCCGTTACGTTTCAGGTGACGAATTTTTTTCTTTTTTTTTTAACCCATGTCCAAGATCGCATGATCAATGTTTCGTAAACTTTGCCTTGGCGTACAATCAAGGTGAATAAAGGTAAATTTACTCTCGAGATTAAACGGTTCTCATGCATTACTCGCGCGCGTTGCATTGATGCAAAGACTGTGAAGTGTGCGAGGTTGCCATTGCTTTCCATTCTAAGTGATAAAAATCGCAGAGCTTACCAACAGCTTTCAATATTTGCCAGATTGATGTTAATCAGTACTAGTACTGGCGTAAAACTAAAATGCTCTTAGACGGAGAAAACAACAGGGAAAACAAGAGAGAATGGGGCCTAGAACAGAGCGGAGTGCTGGTCAGCGGACTTTTCCTTTGCTCATGCTCACTACGGTCATTCTTTTTGGCGTCCATTTTGAAAGTGATTTCAACGGCTTCAAATTTGCCAGCTTCTATAGGTTCTAGGAGCGTGGAATCGGTATATTTTTGCTTTCTGATGATACCACAAGACATCTAAGGGTTGTTATGTATATTTAGCGACCCACCGGCCTTCAGTAATCGATCGCTTCCCTCGTAAAGCGACTCTTTTCTGACACAGTGGAGCAGAATGTGAGACAAAAACCTCGTGATGCGCAAGTATAATTTGAAAGTTGGAGTGTTTTACCGTGCTAAGGCTATCCAAGGCGGAGGATTGTGATGGAATACCGATAGTACGACGAGGTAAGCTTAACAGTTAAGTTTTCCATATTTCATTTTTGTGGTCTGTAGCATTTGAGATAATGCTTGGGAGACATATTTGTTGACACAAAGCTGTGATTGATAAGTACAGTAATTTCCCGAGCAGGAAACTGCAACATAATGAACCTGAATCCTCTTACTAAACAAGGCGAGGCGCTGCACTGTGAGGTCTGTGAAATGATTGTAGAAAAATGGTTAGAGGGTTCCAGTGATTTTGTTACAAATAGTATATGCATGGTGAGTCCTGGGACTCATTTTGTGAATAGTCAAGAGTTCTGGCCTGTCCACATGCACAACCAGTGAGTCCCAGTTAAAAAACAGGGAGTCCTTAATTGAAAATGCTTGGTATGGGCCTTTTAACCAGACAGTTAATCTGGAGACAGATGCCAAAACTTTTTATGACAGTTTACTAAAATGAAAGTATAGTCCTATATATTTAAAGCACAAAAAGACTAAAATAATTATATACATCTTTAAACAACAGCTACAGAAATCGCACAAACGGATATTCTACCAACAAATCTTCAAATCGATCGATCATCCTTTGCATCCTACGGGATGCATGCCATGAATTATTTTGCGTCTTTGGATAATTTTTTGTGTGAGGGACACAAGATGCAGAGGTAACAAAATCACTGGGGTTTGAAACCATTCCAAATAGTGCACCAGTTTAATTTACTGAGAAGGACGGTAACAAATATTGTTGATCGTTTCATATGTCCAGGAAGCCCCTACACAGAGTTTTTTAAACAGCAACGACCAAGTATGTATGCTATGGAAATACAAAAACATTTAATTGAAAATCAGGTTGTTGACCCGCAAAGGTTCGATAAGTCATGTATTGACACGTGATTTCGGTTACTCTTGCAAAGAGTTGACAATAGTTCCAAAAGAGAGCTTAATCTAATAATATAATAATACTTGACTGAGAACGCTCAAGAAAAAGTTGAAGCATGTATTTTTTTTCAGTAACTGTGATCCCAGGAATAGGTACTTCTTTGACGAGAACTCGGTGATTAAAACAACTGGGAAGTGAAGTTACTGTTGAGCAAACTTGTGAAGCTCAGTCGTAGTTGACAACTATGTCTTGAAGTTCGCAATTTGATTCCCTAACTTGCTAAGTAATTGGCTACTTCATGATGTAGTACCCAATTTTCCAACGAACTTTGCAACATGGTGTGGTAAATAATGTGAAATCGACTGTAACAGAGTGATCCAGACTTTAAGAGCGCTTTCCATTTGTCCGAACTGGCCGGCCGGACCATTGTCCAACCAGTCGGTTTGATATTGAAATATGCTTTTGCCAAGAGTTTTTGCTGAGCAACCATTTCCTTGGTGCATACTACTTAGGATTTGACTGATCTGGCTGGAGAGATTTGATTAAAATGGAAATTCTCATTGCGTTGGGAATGGTTTGGCCGGTCAGTTCTGACAAATGGAAAGTGCCCTAAGTCTTCATTTCAGTGGACAGCAAAACCAGCAGTGGAGTTAAACTAGTAAAACCGCTTTTATTTATCCTGTATTACCCTGCAGTTCTATGCAAACATCATATTGACCAGGGGGAAGGAGGGTACTCCTTAAATATGTTCTCTTGAAATCCAAACAATGTTGCCACAACTTGCAAAGCAACCAGCAGATTTGTTTACTGATCATTCCTTGAATATCCACACTCATAGCTCAGCATACATTGTTATCAGTAAAGATGTTACATGGTTGCAGTGACTGTCACATTTTTTTTAGTTTCCCTTGCATCTTCAATACCAAGAAACAATTACATCATGTGAGAAAAACAAAGAGGCATGATATTTTTGTCAATTATTGACTTATTTTCTCTGTTGGTTCGCCTCTCATTGCTAAAATATTTACTTTAGGAAACACATGTACATGTATATCCAGCACATCACATTGAATGTTTGGCTTTCAAGCTAGATCAAACTCTTTCAAATGAAAGAGTTTGATGCAGCTCAGCCATTCAACAAAACCCACTCACCAAAAAAAATTGAATAGATCATTTGAGTTTTGAAGTCAGTCAAACATTGAGTTGGGTTATCAAACAAAGTGGAACTCACATAAGGAACACTCGAATTGAACAAAACAAGCGTTTCAGTTCCAAGCAATTGATGACAAGTGTGTTAATTATTGATCTAGTGTGAAAGCAGTCAAGGCGATGTAAGATCCTGCTTCTTTTATTATTTCCATTTCAGAGTTCAGGGTTGTCACTAAGATTTCAGGTTGCCAGGTAAGCACAACAAGTAGGCGGGGAAATCAAACAGCTAGGGATTTCTTTTGGTTCTATTTTTCTTCTATTTTCCAATAAAAGTAGCCGGGGGCCACTCTCTTAGTAGCCGGGGAAACTCCCCGGCCCCCGGCTCTTAATGACAACCCTGGAGTTAAATTCTAAAATAAACATTTTCTGTGAAAATGTCAATACATTTATTTTGTTTACCAAGGAAAAAGTCTTTAAATCTGCAAGTTGAAATCATCTTGGGAATCATCTCAGTTATTACTCTTCACTCCTTAATTGGCCTCAATAATATTGTAGCATATTCTGAATCCAGCACTTGTCAGATTTCCCTGGCTTGTTGAGTTGACTCAGTTTTCACATTTTATTTTTTTCTAATATAATTTGGTTTGTTTCGATTTTGTTCAGGCATCAAACTCTCCAGAAAGCTGGTTTGATATTGTTTGATGGCCAAACTGTTTTGTTCGGGGGAGTTTGATGGGAACTTTGTTTTGCATAATAGATTGTACACCGGAAGTATACATTTACTGCCGTAAATGATCTGCTGCCCACCAGGATTATCGCTTTACAAGTTGTGAGAACATCATTTCTTGCACCCAGACCTTGTTACTTTCCCCTGCTTCCCCTGGTATTGACCCTGTACGTGTAGATGATAATGTACAACCTGAGGGAGGTTGTGCCCTTGAAAAGTAGGCTTTTTGTTACTGGTACTGGTAATCATAGACAGCCTCTGTTTACATTTACATGTACATGTAACCAACCCCTGGTCCATAGTCTTAACGTTGCAGGTTGCGGGCAACATAATGTACTAGCTATTACTATGAAACACAACTGTATACATGTAAAATTATTGTAATGTGATGAATCAGGGTTGTCAGAAAGTTTTGAAGTAGACAGCTGAGTTGTCAAAAATAATAAGCGGCCAGTAAATTATATGTATATTACTCATTTAGTATTTTTTATTCGTATGAGAATATCTACATTAGTAAAGTTGTCTTACTGCTAAAAGGTTTTCCCTCCCCCCGCCCGATAGCCTGGGGAATAGCTTCTGTGTTTTACTTATTAGCACTTTGTTTTGTTTTTCATACAACAGGCCAGGCAGATCACCTTGGTATGTGATGTTGGTGCAGAACGTTCTCTCAAAGCAGGCTGGTTCATGGAACTTAATTTCAGTCTCAAGCTACTGTGCTTTATGCTTAGTCAAGTTCTGCAAATGTTAATCTTGAAATACTACTTCTATGCTAAAGACAAAAAATGTCCAACTGCTACCTCGAGTGGGCAAGGTGAAGCAAACCTTGCATTCTAATTGGCTACCCAAGGGGGCAAGGTGAGCCCATTTTGCCCACTTGGGATTTCCTGCGTTGGTCCCACAAGTAAAATTTCTCTTCTTGGCCATGTAATAATTCATTTATTGACCAAGCTTGTTCATTCAAGATGGCTGAATATTGACCTCATTCATTTTTGTATTTTTATTGACGAAGACCAGGCTGTGCTCTGTGGCCCGTTGCGCCTACATCTGTAACTTTTGTTCTCAGGCGACTAGAAAATCTTTGCTTTTTCATAGAAATCATTTGCTGGGCACACTGGATTTCACAAGTTTAGAGTGCTGGGCTGCCTTCAATTTTTCTTAGAGCACAGCCTTGCAAGGGAAGGCAGGGTCAATAAAGACGCAAATATCCAGCCATCTTAATCTCACACCTGGCCAATAAAGCATAATTATTTATTACAATTTTATGGTTGAATCCGTGAGCGGGCAAGGTGAAGCAAATCCTGTGCTCTAATTGGCTACTCAAGTGAGCAAACCAATCAAGCTTGTTCGGTGAAGATAGCTGGGTATTGGCCTCGCAAAAAAGAGCCTGGCCAAAATCCAGGCATCTTGACTGAATGTTGGTCAGTAACGCATAATCATTTATAACAATAATAATTATTAGAACTTTGTGAACATCTTTTCCAGAAAGGCATTTTATATTGCTTTAAAAGGGTTAGGTTATGCTATGCTATATTTTGTTCTTTGAGAGGCTTAAATGTGTCTTGGCCTAAATTAAGTTCCAAAAATAATGGTCCAGTTCTGTTATTTAAAACTTAATTGAGGCATTGGCACTGTTTCCCATCACCTCTTGCTATGTATGACAAAGATGATCATGGATTGAAACTTGGCCAACTTTTTCAAGGTTAAAATAATGCTGTGACTGCATAAATCACCAAGAGTTATTATGGTTTGTGCTTCTTGATGAAATTGGCTTGATGCATGTATCTTCTTCATAACTCTACAAGTCAAGCATTTTGTGTAAGGGTAAAGACACTAAGAGCGCTTTCCAAAAGTCGGAACTGGCCGGCCAGACCATGGCTGGAGCAGTCGTTTCGACAATGAAATAGCTTTTTCTGAAGAGTTTTTGCTGAAAAACCATCACCTTTGTGCATTAGTATTTAGGTTTTGACTGATCTAGTTGGATAGTTGTGATTAAAAGTGAAATTCTCGTTACTACTGGAATGTTCTGGCCGGTCAGTTTTGACAAATGGAAAGCGCCCTAAGTAATGACTTCAGCATAGAAGTGACCTAAAACGTACACATGAAACACATAAACCGTTTTAGCAGACTTGTATTATGTAAAACTGTAGCCATACTTTGTTTGTTGATGTATTTTTTTGCATTTCAATCTTTGCAGTGGTCATAGAAAATTGTGTAGTTTAGACCACCATGTTAGAAGAGTAAGAATATTTCCTGACACCATAATTATAAAATTATCCTGAAGCAGAATGGTCATATGAGTAAGTGGTATATGGTCATACAGGTTAGTATAGCACTTAGTGGGACTGTTGACAGGAACTGATGTTTTGACAATGCCCATGAAAATGATGATCACCTTGTTGTCTAAACGTTAGTCGCTGTCAACAACAGTCCTGCTCAGGACTACAATGTACATTCACCCGACAAATCATATTCCACTTTGTTGAAATAATTATTATAGACAGCCAAACATATCACTAGCCATAAACTGCACATGAAAGTGTTTATCACTATCTGCTATAAAGGGTATTAATTTGTTAACAGATTTGACATTTTCTTTGCCAAAAAAAACACTACGTAGTCCTACAGAAAATTTCTAGTGGATTTCCTAAAGGAAGCCTCTTACTATTCCTGTTCATTGCTAGTGTGAATAGGCACTCACATTTAAAATGTAATTTAACTTAACCAATGTAATGAATAAATACCATAAGAAGACCTGATTGTCAGTTTAGGAAGCAAGAAGAATAAAGAAAGTACTTGGAAAGATTGCTGTGGTATTATTTTGTGCAATAAAAATGTCGAGAGAATGGGTTTTTGTAAGTATAGATGGCGGGAAAACCACCCCAAGATGGTGAAAAGCGCTTTTTTCACGATGGAAATAACTTGAAAACACCAGTTTCCGACTCGTAAACTCGTGTTTCCGCAATAGTTACATCCGATTACGTTGACGGAAACATGAAATTGACTTGTTTCCGGAACGTTTTCGCGTGTTTCCGCAAGGATGCCACGCATTTATTCTTGCGGAAACACGTGTTCGCTTAGACGGAAATTTGACGGAAACGTAGAAAAAAGTGGTACGATTCCGCCGGAACCGCAGCGACGGAAACACGGGTAAACGTAATGTATCCGCTAACGGAAACATGTGATTACCGTCATGTTTCCGCAACGGTTTTACGTGTTTACGTTAAGTTTCCATTTACGGATTCTTGAAATTTCGTCCTGTGAAGTTTCTCTCTTGCATGGCTTTTAGCGTAATCACTTGTAAATACCCCTACCCGGGAAAGAAATTGTCCGTAAACCAGAGGAATGAGTTCAACGATGGCATTGAAACTGTTGGAAAAAATTGCGAGTGCGCAGCGATGACACTTCAACAAACAACAAGCTATGCTAAGAAAGCGGTACAAGTAATGGCAGTAATGCTTAATTTGCGCGACGCATTTTTACCTGTATGTATAGGGTACATTCCGGAAAGGAGAGCACCTCTGGTTGGAGAGCAAATTGGTTGTACATAGTAATTATCCAGTATTACGCCTTCAGAAGCAAGTTTATCCATGTTTGGAGTGTTGATTTTTGAACCATGAAAGCCAACATCACTCCATCCTAAATCGTCTAAGACTATCAGCAAAATATGTGGCGGATCACCATGAACTTTGAGCACCAACAACGAAAACGACGAAAACAGGAGAGCAAGGATCAAAAAATGATTGGGCCGCATTTTGTAACCTTCCGGCGCTCCTTGCTTTTCGAAGCGAAGTGTCAGCGAATGGGTATGGCGCGCTGTTTGTGGGGTTTAGAGAAAGACTATCAGTTGAAATTTAAGTCTGTCACTTGTGTACATTACTCTGTCGGTTGTAAGTCCTGTAAACATCTACTCTATCGATTGGTATATTACGCTGTCAGCTGTACGCACTACTCTGTCAGTTGCAAACATTCACTCTGTCGCCAGGCTGAACGCCATCTGTCGTTTGTAAACATTTACTTTGTCGGTTGTACAAACTGCTCTGCCAGTTATGTACATTATTTACTCGGTCAGTTGTAAACATTTACTACTCTCTGTAAACATTTCACTCAGTCAGTTGTGCGCACTACCCTGACGGCTGTAAAGTTGTACAAACTACTCTGTCAGTTGTGTACATTACTTACTCAGTCCGTTGTAAACATTTACTCTGTCGGTTGTGTAAACTCTGTCAGTTGTGCACATTACGTACTCGGTAGGTTGTAAACATTTACTCTCATATTAAAAATGGGTTTAGACAGACCAGCACGACTCCTGCTGTGCGCCCATTGTGTCTTTCAAAGCCTTTTTAAAGTTCTGCTTTAACAAGCATATCTTTTAATGATTTTCCTTTTCTATAAGAGATCAAGGGAGGCTCCCTGAATATCTCTCAGGGCAACGGCTGGTTTTGTATTAAATGCCATTTGTCCATAAGTATGTTTTTCAAGTTTGGTACAATGACGGTTGAAATTGTGTGACAAAGGGTAGAATCTTTTTGTGCGTTCCCAATTTTTGTTTGAGAGCTTCCTTCCTACCTTTTTGTTTCGGGCATCCTCTAGAGATAAGGCGTGTTTTGAATTTTCTAACGTTCCCCTCAAACATAGCTTTTGAAGAGTTTGTCCTGGGAAGCCTGAGAGCTTCTCCTTTGACAAAACCTTTTTTTTATAAACGCACGCTAGGTGACAACTGTTGGAGTGTGGCACTAAAATGTTTCAGTACAAGGCTTAAAATGTGTACGCAAATCGAGGATTCTTTCTTTCTCGAATCGTTCTTCCTTTGTAGAGGAGGTGAAAGGGGTTATTGGGTGATACGGGATTAAGTGCTTTTAATTTCGTGAAAGGCGAAAATATAAAATGAAAATTCGTGAACTGTGAGTGGTTTGCTTGTGGCAATACGTGAACTTTAAAATTTTTTATGCGATATTCGTGATTTTCAACAATTTTTTTCGTGAAAATGGAGTTTTAACTGAAAACAAATTTTGCAGTGAAGCCAGTGGACCTTCAAATGAACGTTTTTAAAGGTCTAAAAAGACTTACTTAAGGCCGGTTATTTAAACGGAGTTTAGCCAGTGTTTAACAAACCGTGTTCTAAGCCAATTTCAATTTTCTAAACGCCTATATCTTAACACCGGCTATCGTGAACGTTTGATGGCAGTAACAGGGTAGTCTCTTCCGAGGAGAGGTCCAGGCACATCTACTTTATGGAAGATAATTTATTGCATGCAATGTCTAAGTTAGGATATATGTAGTTCCGTTTTCTCACTAAAGTTGTCTGTATATTCTAAGTAATTAACATAGTGCACACAGCGAAAATAGACGGATCAGATAATGTGTCAAATGGTCGCTTACAAGAGTTTAAAAACAATGGAAAATTATTAACTGTCAGGCCCAAAGGAGATGGTCGTTTACCAGAGGTTCAAACTGTAAGGCTTTAACGGGAAAAATTTTGGTGTTTTCGATTGGCGGTCGCTTAATTATCGGAGGTGATCGCTTACGAGAAGTGGTCGCACGTGAAGTTTCGACTGTACTCGTGGCGGAAAACGGTCAAAGTCAACTTTGAGACAAGGGAAAGTCAAATGACGTTCCTTTTGAGTTCTATTACCCGTCAGCATTAGTCATCATCAGTTTACCTTCACCTACATTTCATTGTATGTTTACCTGCCTCCCTTACTTCTCTGCACTAGTTGTGCGGGAGGCACATGAAGCAAAACATCGGCTCTACTATTAAACGTTAATTACTGTAGTAACTCATCATTAACTCTGCAGACAGCGGCATTCTGAACAGGTCCTGCCATGCACTGTCCTTTTACTTCGGAAATTTCCGTGAAACGTGAGCGCGGGATTTTAATCCTCGTGATGCGTTATTTCCACACTTTAATGTCAGCGCAGATACGTGCGTAGGACCCCCTCCCGCCCCCATTTACCCACCTCTTTGTACACTGTTGTGTCCAAGAGTCTACTTCTGATATTTCACCCGTAAACAGGGGCACCCAAGGAGAATATAATTCAAAACCACTTAAACATAGCATAGTTCAACGTATTTTAGTATTTAAACGGTAGATATAGGCATATTGTTATCCCCTAAAATTTTTTCATCTGTTCGGATTTCTTAGCTGAAAGTCCAGTGATCCAAAAATTATAGAGATCAAAACTTACCTTTTCGAAAATTTCAGCCAGAAAAAGGCTCCCGAAAATTCTAGGTGACCTTTTTAGGGTAAAAATCAGTTAAAAATTATACCATTTTTTAGATGTTCGAAAAGCCTAGGAGAAGCAGGCAAGCAAGAAATTTTACAAATGTTCCGAAAATTCTCGATCTCAAATCGTCTTCCTAACAGATATTTTCCAAAAATTGACGTTGGGTGCCCTTGAGTAAACTTGATGTGAGTAGGGTGGTAAGCATTGGCTTCCTCAATGAAGAGTTCTGTATCTTCTATTTTTTGTGTCCCATAAACAGAAGATGTCGTCCACAGTAAATCTTTTCCACACTGGCGGTTTCTCTTTGTTTTGCCATTTCTTTTCCTGTGATTAGCAGCATCATAGGTAAACCAACGAGAGGCACTTTGGATGTTTTGATCCGAAATTTGAAAAAAAAAAAAACTAATTGCGAAGAATTTTTGCGTAAAATTTCACTTTGTGAGGTTGAAAACTTGCACTGTTTAAAGACATTGATGGAGAGAGAATATCAAAATAATGCTCACTGTTTGCCTTTCCATTTGTCTTCGATCCTTCGAGGAATCTGATCATGTTGCGCTCGTTTTGCGAGTCGTGAAATTTAACCGTGAATTTCAGGTACACTTTGTACCTTATGGTTAAGAAAATTGCGTTTTTAATATGAATTTTCTTATACATGTTCTGCACACGTTTTCAGAAGGTTTAGTGCTGATTTTTAATTGCCACGTTTTCGACTTAGCCGGAGTCATGTTTTCGCGTGTCAGTACGGATCGATGATCGAATTGTGATGCGAATTTAAAAGGATAAATACATCGCCGGTTCCATAATTAAATAAAAATTTTCAAGAATAATTTTTCTGCCTATTGTTTTGTGTTAAATCATCTATAACACAAGCTTAAAACAAGATAGCATCTGAGTTGGCTTGCATTTTAATTTCATCAAATGGCTTCCCAACAAATTTATGCAGAGTTTGAGCTGAATCGCGAAATTCCAGAAAGACGTTTTGTAGGTATACAGAACATACTTTTAAGTAAAAGTAACTTCTAACTTCTCAGTTTAAGATAATAATTTGCTTCTTAAGTAAGATGCCCACCTCTCAAAGATTTCAAACTAATCAAAAACATCTTAAAACTTCTTTAAGATCACTTTAAGATGTCACTCCTCTTAAATGATATGTTACAAACTTAAGGTAAGACGGGTTTTTCTTAAACGAAGACGCCAAACAAAAATAGAGGCTATTATTTTAAGACGTTTACTTTGTAAAATCTTACATCAAGACGGGAAACATGTTTTAGAAAAGTAAGAGATTACCCGTTTACAACTTACCGAGTAAATAATGTGCACAACTGACCGACAGAGCAAATGTTTACAACTGACCGATTAAATAATGTACACAACTGACCTTGTGGTGTGTACAAACGACAGGGTAAATGATTACAACTGACCGAGTAAATAATGTACACAACTGACCGACAGAGCAAATGTTTACAACTGACCGATTAAATGATGCACACAACTGACCTTGTGGTGTGTACAAACGACAGGGTAAATGTTTACAACTGACTGAGTAAATAATGTACACAACTGACAGAGTAGTGTGTACAACCGACAGCGTTGAAGTTTTTTTTTTTTTTTTTTTTTTAATTAAAAAAAGCAGGTTAAGAGGAGAGAAGCGGTCTGTTACGCCGCAAAATGTAATAATCGTCGCAAAATGTAATATTAACGCAAAATGTAATAAGAATCGCCGCAAAATGTAATACTAACGCAAAATGTAATAAAATTGACGCAAAATGTAATAAAATTTTCAACGCAAAATGTAATAATCTTTCAACGCAAATTGTAATAACTTTTCTAATGCATAATGTAATAACGCAAAATGTAATAATTTCCGAAATAACAACGTGCATGCTATTTCAAAATCGGTATTGTGGCTCAGTAATCAGTAGCTGATCCAGATCTTCATGTGAATTATTATTATTATTATCAATATTGATATTAATAATAGTAATAATATTTATTTTCTTATTATTATTATTATTATTATTATTCTTACTATTAATGAAATAACGGTTGAAACGTCTTGTTAATTCCGTGCTGAGCTAGTCTCTCTCGATCACAGCCGTGTTTTGTCTCGTCCCCAACAAAGGAGGAGGAGCATTGTGTGACGAGACAAAAATGGCTGCTAGAGCTTACTGTACTGTACCACAACTGTAGCAACTGAGAGACTTGGTTTAATTTCAGATGTTGAATTTAATTCAGTCAAATAAAATAAATAAAAATAAATAAAATATGTGAATGTTAACTTTTAACGTCGTCCTGGGGTACCAGGGCCTCCTATTCCGAAACTTCTTGTGATTTTGTTTTTTAGGTTGTTTTTTTCAATCCGACCGACCGACTCAATATCAGGAAACGCATTCGACGCTAAACGAAACCTTGAATTTGCTCAGCAACGCAATCGCCATTGGCTTAGAGTTGACGGCGCCAAATCTTGAACTGGGAGATCCATACAAAGTGCGCAATTTCCTCTTTTTAGGGGCGACCATTTTTGAC